CTCTCCACATCTGGAGGGTGTGCAGTGTGCGTCAGGCTGCCACTGCACACACAAAGCGGCCTGAGAGCCAGGCGGTATGCCCCCCCCCCAGCTTTCATCAATGATTAATCCACCAGGGATGAGCAGTGCCGCCCCGTTTTGAACCTCGTGCAATGACAAAAGTTGGACCCGTTTCAAGGTCTCGCTGGTGGCGACATCTTGTGGAGGTAGAAATCTGTGGACCGTAACGGGGCAGAGCAGCTTCGAGGCTTCTCTGGAGGTTAAGTTTAAAAGGGTTCGCGGTTGATTGACTGGCTGAAGTTTTTTTTTACCGGTCGAGGAGAATTATTTAACCCGGCGTTTATTTAACTGGAGAGCTCTGCTCTTTCCCAAAAATCTTGAGAATACAAACCAGCCTCTCCACGTGTCTTTAATGTTAATGAATAACTCCCTGATGACTGGGATCTAAAAACGTTCTTTCCAAACACACGACACAAATATATACAGATCAGTATAAATTTAATTCCCAGTCTTTAAACTGCTTAAACTCAGATTAAGAGGTGCGTCAGAGAGAGAGAGAAGGCGAACAGAATCATTTTACAGGATGATCAGATTGGGTCATGTGACGCAAAAACGCAAAGCAAAGTCACTGAATGGCTGCTTTGTGAGAAGCGGCCTCTTGTCGTCATTCTGGAGCCTGACTTCTAAAGTAGGCCTAATCAACTAAGGTGACGACATTAATGGAAATCCCCCGATCTCTGCAGATCTCAAACTGAAGCTGCGGATCAAAATCATTTCGACGCATTAAAAAAAAAGGACGTTCATCCAGTTTACGCGGCTCTGTGCCCTGATAATTCACATCATCAACCGAATAATCCTTTAAAGGAACCCCGCTTTATATGAATAAAAAGGAGTTTAGACGTGTGCCCCACAACGCTCAAGGCCTTTAACTCGACCTTTGGATTCATTCCGTGAAATAGAAAGTTGCCGTGATAACAGCGACGAAAAAACACCATGAATCTGCTGATGGGGCGTTAAATCCAATCAAAGCTCAGCAGCTATATTTCCATTATAATTATATTTATTTCAATAACTAAAATGAACGCTTACATTTTCAAAGCAAGACGAATGATTTCCAATATTTCTCGATTTTGTGATCGGCCCTTCATTGTTGGTGCCCAGGAGGTTATTTATTCATTTTGGCTTGTAAGGAAGCTCTCTGCAATGGCAAGAGGGTTTCTCTAAGATAAAATATTCAGGTTAAAACGATTAGATTCACTTTACATCTCTCTGTGCCCCACTTTAGAAAAATTCTGAAACATTCATGAGGACAAAAGGTTCCACAGAGACATCAGCCACTATGAAACCTCTCCAATAATCTTAAGTCTCTCTTTACTGAAGCAATCAATCATGTTTGTCTGTTTGAAGTTATTTTAAATGTACCTATATTTTTTATACATATGAGTTAGTCTTGCTTTGGCAACACACAAATTATGTTCTTCTTAAATTTGGAGACTTGCCCCATAATCAAGGGCCTATGGCACATCCACTTTTGCTTTACTCTTAAAGTACACAAACATATTGAGTGAATAAAAATTATATGTTTTAATTACCTCAGCATTCAAACAATTTGAATAATATGCTATTCTTGGTTTGCAAATTGCCAGCATTATGTGTAGAAAATTTGCTCTTCTAATCTCACTTCAACATTGGACCAAAACATTTCAGTCTGTGGAGATCCAGCTTTCATTTTGGTTTATTTAGGAACTGCTTTTACCCTCACTGTTGTTGCAGCTGAATTTAATTCAGTAGCCAGCTACAGCGTGAAAATACCTTAAAGGCCAAAGCCGGATTCTGTTAGCAATTACAAAAACCAAACATCCACATTACAGTGTGCAAAAAGCCCAACAATCCTTCCGCTTTGAACATCACTTTCTTTTTAATTCTGCAGCAGCATATTAAATATCTGTATGTACATGTTTGAGAGTTACATAGAAAAAATATAGTATTACTTAGGTCTGTTAGTCATGTGTAACAATAACCTCTGTACACACACAAACATACATATATGTATATATATATATACACACACATATATGCCATCTTCCACAGGACAACATCAAATGCTCATATATCCCCCTTAAAAAAGCCTTTGTCTGTGCTGTTCTCTTTGATGGTGACTGTCAAGGAGTTCATAGTGACGTCGGTCACGGTCACAGTGTCCAGGTTGTTGGGGCAGGGCCTCCAGGAAGGGCCCGAGCGTGCGGTCGGCTCTCCGACGGACTCGTACTGCGGGGACGCCGCGCCGGCCTCCCCGTGCTGCGTGCAGCACTCCTTCCCCCGCTGGCCCCGCTGGCCCTGGTGTCCGGCGCAGCGCCCCGGCCGGCTGCTCTGCGGCCCGGTCAGCCGGCCGAGGCAGTAAGTCCTGTGTCCCTGCCCGTAGGGGCTGAAGGCGGGGCCGTAGGCCAGCCCGCCGCCCCTGGCGTGCCCCGGCTCGCCGCCGGATTTGGGCGTGATGGTGGTCTCCTCCTGAAACCTCTTGGTCAGCTGCAGGAGGCTGTGGTCAGAGGTCTGGGCGTGGCGGTGCGGCCGCTGGGAGGCTTTGGGCAGGCCGTGGGGCAGCGGCTCCTCCAGCAGCCGGCTCCGTTTGGCCTCCGCCTCGGCGGAGCCGCCGGCCTCGTGCTGGTCGTAATGGTAGTGGTGCTTGGGCTTGCGCCCTCGCTTTTTGGGGAACTGCAGGGAGTCGTGGTCGATGTGGGGAGCCGGTGGGGGGGGTCTGGGCCTCCTCTCGGGCTCCGGCGGCCGGACGCTGACGCTTTCCCCTCTGTTGACCGCGCTCGGGGGGAAGATTGTGGGAACCACGGTGCGTAGACCCTCCCGGGCCCTCGGCGTTATGACCGGCTCAGGCATGGGATAGGAAACCTGGATCCCTCTGGAGCTCTCCCTTCTAAATTCATAAGTCTTTTCCTTGGCTTTGGCCTGAAGGTAGAGAAAAAATAAATATATAAAAAGCAGCTCCAAAGGAATGGAAATATAAAGTCTTTTCAGGAAATTTCTGGGTTTATCAAAGGCAGGTGGGCATCTGTTTGGCTGTATTTTGGACACTCAAGGCCTCTTCACAAAGTTGCTGTTTTTAAGAGATGCAAATTTATGGCATGGAAAAATAAGACAGATTCCTGATATTAGAAATGCTTTAAAGACAGCTAAACGTTATCAAATGAAATCATTGGATAAAATAAATATTTTCTTTCAAGTTACAAACTGTCACTGCATTAACTTTTTGTTGAATGTGAATCACAACGCGGCGGTTTTGGAATTAATGAGACCGTTCAGCTGTCAAAACACTAAAATGATTCCGCTTCAGTAAACTTTGCTGACGCGTATCTGAGACAGGAGAAAATGAAATGGAAACTCCAGAGATGATCAAAAGATTTACGCACCTTCAGAAGAAACGTCTCGGGTTTGGGCCCCCTCTTTTTCGGTCCAAACAGCTCCCGTTCGCGCTCCCTGCGAGTAGAAATCACGAAAAGAGCCGTCTGAACACGCTCAATAATCATTGCGCATTTGAGTCTACAATATAATCAGAAATTATATCTATGAGCGGAAGTTAGGGAATCACACAGCCAGGGTTTATCTCGCCATTTTAGTTGAGTTATTTAAGCTAAATGAGTTTCAATTAATTCAAGCTGAATCCAAACAGACACATTTCAGAATGAGAAATCAACACCACATCCTTCAACCATTTGCAGTCGAAAAGAAAAAACCTCTCTCCGCTGGCACTTGCTCTCACTTCCTTTCAGAAAATTGCGAGATTGTCAGATAAAAACCTTTCCCAATCGACTTATTGAAACGGGGGGGGGGGGGTTGGTGGCGCAGGGTGCGCGGTGCCATCTGGTTTGAGCACAGAGGCCTACTGCGCTGTCAAACCCTCACCTCTCCTCGAAGGCGGCGAAGAGGCGTGCATCCAGAATATTTTCCTCCGGCTCCCAAGTGCTGTACCTGTGTCACAACAAACAGGGGGTTGGGGGGTGCCACATTATTGTTGGGGTGCAACATTATGCACGACACACATTATCGCGTCTGCACGCGCACGCTGCCACACTTCGATCGAAGCAATCTTCGGCAGCCTGCAGCTGCAAATTACAGACTACGTAGCGGACAGTGACGCATGGTGAAACCCAGCCATTGCTAAAGCTATACCCCGGACTCTGAATCGTCCAAAGCCATGGCGTGAAGCTTCGGCGTTTTTTAACGGCGCGCGTGCGCGCGTGCCTCGCCGCGCGGGGCGGACTGCGACACGGCCCAACACGGCGCGTGAAACGGATAAAAAATAAAAATAAAAACACACATCCACGAAGCCGAGCGACGACAGGCTAGAAGGTGGTGCAGTTGTGCGCTCGGCCAGGATGGAGCGCTGTCCTTCCCAGCCTCGGCGATTATACTCACTTCTGAGACCAGCCCTTCCATTTTACCAGATATTCCCAACGACCCTGCAAACAAAAACACATACGCCACACGTTCAGGTTTTCGGAGAACAGCCTGCCGACCCCCCTTCGCAAACACATGGATGGGTGGTGGGTGCGGAGGAGCTGCCCGTGGGCAGCGAAAAAAAAAAAGCGGCCAGTACCCGTCTGATTCGCCGTTTAATGATGGACTCGGCTGCGAAGACGCTCTCACCGACAGCCGACAGCTCCATGATTCACCATGCACCCCGTTTATTTCGGTCTCTTCTATTATTTTTGGCTTCCCCTCGTCCTCTCTGGGTTGTTTAATTCCGCACATCCCATAATACGCAATCTGTGGAGGACGTCATCTGTAGAGGACGGGTCGTGGCTGTGCACATTGGCTCGGTTGTTGCTACGTGCTCCGGGTTTCTGAGTGAAGGGGAGGAGTCCCGCTGCTCTGGCTGCTGTACAGGAATGTCTGCCACAGTGGAGCAGACCGAGCCAGGGGGCTCCCGGAGCGGATCCACTCACCCCCCCGGGGCTCCCAGAGGGGGGGGCAAAGAGCCCCAAAAGTGAGGGGGGAACAGGTCCCTTTTCATCCATTAATTTGGTATCAAAAAGAAGGCGGGGTTTGAAACGAAATGAAATATTCGATCATTAAACCAAGTCCATATCCAACCCCAGACTGGAATCGTAGATAATAAATCAACTCTGTGCGGAGGAATGCGCGTCAGCCCGCAAAAGCTCCAGTAATTGGGTTGTAATTGTGGATGCTTGAGGACCCTAAATGCGTCCTTGTTGGCCAAAGTAACACAAACAACACGTCAATTGGCCTGCGGCTTCATAATCAGTTACTTATATTACCTTGTTTACTTTAAAGTTTCCATAAATGACTCACAGTTTGTGTATTTCTGAGCATGCTTCTGAACCTCTAATAAATCTTTGGTTTTCTTACCTAACTGATCTCATTTTGTTTATGCGTCACACAATATTAGACTGACTTCGGTTATGGTATGTGTGTGCAAACAAACTGACAAAAATAAAAATACTCACCTGACACGAAAGGATCAAATTTATATATGAAAATACGCTACAAAGAAAGACAGCATAGTTTTTAGATCTTGGGGCATGATTAAAATGGTCGTTCCGGGGGCTTTACGCATACGCACATCTAACTAAGACCTCAGGATGAGTAAAGAAAATCTGTGTGTTCGTTATCAAATGCACTGGTTTATGTTAAGGACGACATCGACCGAATATTTCCATATAAAACGAGTTATGTTGCGCTTTAATGTTGAGTTTATTCTGCTCCATTCTGGCAGGCTGGCAAAAATTTACAAAATAATATATATATATATATATAAAATAATATATGTATGTATATATAAGCCACTATAAGTCACTACTTAATTTAGTCTGTGCTTTTCGTGATAAAGCATGGGTTCCCCTCTGGTTTTTAGCCTGATCAGGTTTCTCTCTTATGTTGGGCTGCATGTAATCTGTCATTCCTTTATTGTCATCCAACACAAACTGAGATTACGGCTCACAATTAGATGGACTCCTCAAGTAAAAAGAATTAGCTCCGGGAGTCCAGCGTGGCTTGTGTGGTCACATGGAAATCATGGAAGTGTCTTATAGCAGGCAGGGTGTGTGACGTCAGTCCAGCAGCTTACAGGTCAGGTGGAGGCTCACCTGACATTCTTTGCTGATATGCACCCAAAGAAATGGAAGGAGGAGGAAACATCCAATCAGCGGACACCGTCGAATGAGAATATCGGACGAATGAAAAAGAAAAAGAGGAGCAATGCAGCTTTAAGCAAAAGCAGGGAAATATTCATGCTCGTGTATGTTCAAACGTTTGTTTAGTTTTTTTCAGTTTCCTAAATTTTAGTTTCATTAAAAAAAATACATAAATAAAACGTGTACATATCAGGAGAACTCCAACTGTTGAAAACAAAAGATATGATAAATGTGAGATGTAGAAGAAAAGAGCCGCTGGGGCTCCGATAGGGAGAAAAAAGATTGCTTTTCCATTTCTGTTCCACTTTTGTCAGAACAGTCAGAATGCTCGGGTTTGAAGTTTCATTAAAGTAACATTTGCCTCACGGTCGAAATCTTAACTCAAATGATCAAATCTCCTTTAAATATCTGAAATGTGGTAAACATAAATGTTCCCATTCAGTGTTTGGGTGGACACCCCTCTGGATTTATTCCATATAATGGTTGAAATGGTTTGTTTTTTTTAATCAACTGTGGCAATGTTTTATAGATTTTATTTCCTATTCGATGTTTTCGATTCTCAATGACTATTATTTTTTCTATGTGCGATCACGACTGAGATTTTCAGGAACATTACTGAGTAAATTATCAAAATAATCTGTTGTTATTGAGGTGAAACGGTACACATTTGTATCCACATATTATTTCAAACTATCGCAACTCAAATCATTTTTAATTAATTTTAATTAATTAAAAAAACAGAATGATGTTTTTGGGGCTAAATGACGCTCTAATATATTCATCTGATAAACAGCCATCCGAGGCTGACACTGTCCACTCTTCTGTGGACAACACGTGCACCGTCCTACATTCATCTTTCTGGAATGAATAGATGAAACGATGATACGTTTGATTTACAGTTTGCATTCTTTTAAGAGTAAAACGTCAGCATACCATTAATGGTGAAATTAAATGTTTGGACCTCTTGGCCATCTTTGCCTTCCTTCCAGCCCAAATGAACAAAACTGTAAGAATGAAGAATGTTGAAGGATGAAATGATTAAAAAAATAACCACCCAGACAAAGCAAAGATTAGGTCTACTACCTGGAAGGCATTTGTTCAGTTTGATTGCAGATTTTTGCTGTTATATTCCTCTACACTCGATGCTTGGAATGAGAACCACCCGGAGTCTTGTTCAGGCCTGACGGAGGATTCTCAGCGCGTAACGGAGCAGGAGTCCACTCTCCAGTTATGTACAAGGACCTTTTTTATATGAAAGCTTCAATTTGCTTTCTGTTTGCAGGGATTGTACAGGGATTGCAGTTTGACCTATACATTTTTTTCCTGTATTATAAACGTAAAGAAATGCAGCTTTTATAAAAGGACACGGTCACATTGTGCTACTCCACATGATTGTGCAATGACATTTAGGTGTTTTGAGATACAGTCAAATGTCATTCACAGCTTTATTTTTATTTGTATATCAATATGTGTTCGTCACCGTGTTGAAAAAACGTATTAAACCCGATACTTAGTTGTCTAAATTTCATTAAAAATTAGACAGATTTGTATCAATTCCAGTTCTTTTTTTGATTAACTTAGATTGAGCCGCAAATTGCAGATGTGCCACAGAGGCAAGGAGGTAGTTTGACTGTTCGATCGAGAGGAGCCCGCAGCAGCCGTTTTCTTTCAATCGTTTCTTTCTTTCTCGTATAACCAATCGTGAATGTTCGCTCGACAAGGTTGCTGCAATCTGTCTGTTTAAATATCTCCGCAGTGGAGCAGACAAAGGCGGGCGCGCCGCGGACAAAAGATGCGTTGTGGCTGCTGTAGAAATATGAACCACCATTTTGATACTCATAGCGCGCAGACCGACATTTCCTGTCGGTAGAATGGCTGTGGCGGGCTGCACGGTTGTCTGCACAGACACAGAGAGCGGAGCAGCGCTGGTGGAGAAGAGTCAGTGGCGCACCGGCTGCACATTGGGGCTGCGGGTCTCCATATTTGGCTGCGAAATCGATGAAAAGTAAGAGCGTGCAGGAGCCGCAATGGCGACAGCCGCACATGAATAAACAGAGCTGGCTCTGTGAGGAACATTACTGGCTCTCTGGTTTCTGGGCAACTGCTGCACGCAGCTCGCTGTCCTACTTACTGGGCGACATTTCTGCTCGAAGAGGCTCAGACACGAAACCACAAGGGAGAAAAGTGTGAAGCCGCGTGTCCCTGACCTGCAGCTTTGTCTTATTTCAGCGCATGGTTTGAATTAGAAAGCATCTCCTCCAGCGGCCTGGTGCACCACAGGAACAGCTCTCTTCTCTCAGAACAGAAACTGTTAACAGCTTGGACTATTTCTGTGGCTCTCCGTTTAGAATCCATTCTCAGGACACGTTGCTTTACAATCCATTCCAAACAATTTACGCACCTGTTTGTTAGAAATAAAAATCAAATAAACCAACAAAACGAGCGCTTAGTGACTGGTTTTACATTGATTCCTGTAATGTTTGAGATACCACAGGCCTGCAGCTGGTCACGCAAATGGATTTGAATGAGAGGCATGAGCCTGGCGGGCGGCACCGTATGCGCAGACGAAACTCTGCAGAAAGCAGCTCTGCTGCCGCTGGGTACTATGATAAAGGGGGAATGTGAAACATCACACTTGGTCTATAAATATGTCCCCGCGCTCAACGATGTTTCAGTTTCCTATAGCTACTGATGCATGACTGACTCAGAGAGCTGTTTCAAAACCACACGAGGCCCGTAAAGATAACCCTCCTTTGGACTGTGCTGCAGGCCCGTGTATTTTTGTAATTCCTGTCCCATCAACTGACATTTGCCCTATTTCCCATCTCAGATTATGCTCCGTGTCAGAAATCATCTGCGCGCTTTTGCTCTCGACCTCAAAAGCTTGCCAAATAAAAAGCCTCTGCCCTCGTTATTCGTTAATTACGCAATTGAGCGGGGAACGAATTAACCACCAGATCCCATCTTTGTTTGGAATTCTAAAATAGCTCACCGTTCTGATGTTTTTCTCCAGTTCCATGCGACCAGAGCAGAACCGCAGACGGGGGCTGTGAAGGGGAAACTTTGACGATTTGCAGGAGGAAATTATCATAGAGGTCAGAGACGGGTCAGGGTTGATCTGAATCCTTGTGAAATCCTAGACCGGGCCCGATGCAGTGCTGACATATCAGTTCAGCCAGATTAGCACAGATCCCCAAAGTGAACCGATGACGTCCCTCCTATAATTACTGGCATTAAAGCGGAGGGATTTTTTTAAAAGAAACTTTCAAACAAGGTAAGCGCAGAGAGAATTTCTGTGAGTCAACTATAAACAAGCAATTTCTCAAGATTAGAGGGGACTTGAGAAGATGGTTCATCCACTTCGACACTGTTCATTTAGCTGCAACCTATCAATTTAATGAAATCCTCTTGAGGGGAACTTTCATTGTTTAAGTATTAAAGTGATCTTAATTAACAGCGTTTTCTGACAGGCTATCCTTCAGACTCTTCTCGGTCAACATTCTTTCATAGGCAACTCCCAAACACACCTCAGACACATTCCAGGGCCTGTCTGTCTCCCAAAACAGTCAACAGTTAATTGTAGAGTCACTTTGAGATCTTATTTCAGCAGCAAAAGCTATTTCTGTTCAGACTTCAGGCCTGCAGCAACCTTCATTTGGAGGAGACCTCACAGGGTTTGGTCGGGCCCAGAAAGGTAAGCATTTACAGTCCATTCACAAAAGCACTGTCGAGTTTGTGTAGCTTTGCATGTATTTGCCTTTGTGAGCCTGGACTTGGAAATCTGAATATTTTTCCAACACAATAATGTTGGAAAATTTGCTGTGTCACAGTGACAAAGGCCTTCCAAGCACTTCATTTTTTCCCCTTACAAAATCATTCTCCTTGTTCTGGAAATGACCCGAAGTCTACTTGACAGACATGTTCTAATCTAAAGTCATATCAACAAGCTTCCCTGTTCCTTCCAGCACAGCAACACATGCAAGCCTATATGCCTTTTAGTTACTGTTTACTTACCCTTCTGTGAAGCCTTTCTCGATTATCAATTCTTAGAATTACACAATCCCCTCCCTGCCCTTGTTCCATTCATGTTTGTTTACATTATTTGGGGTCAGTCTACAGTAGGAAAATAATGCATGGGCAAGATTTTAATAAAACAAGTGGCCAGTGTAGTTACACAACACAGAGAGCCCTTTGTGCAGGGTTGTTTGTGATTATGCAACACGATCTGTTTTCCTATTCCTGCCTCATGACCATGTTAGTATTTCTAGTGTTTAATGTACTTTTCATTCTCCCCTTGAGCCAATAGACTCCAGTTGAAAATAATACAAACATGTCTTTTTGGAATGTTATAAAAACTGGAATTGTTTCCCTAAGAATAAAGAAAATAGGGGGAAAAATACACAGAGCTCCAAGCAGACATCCCTCCCACAAATATCACCACAATACAATGTCAGAGGTCAGATCTCTGTCTTTATTGTGAAACTTACCATCCAAAGGAGCTGAGCCAGCAAGTCAGCCGATATAACATACTTTATAACAATCATTTGAACTTTGGACAGAGTGCAAAAAGGAAGAAGCAAAACAAAAAGTTGCAATCAGGCTCCAAGTAATTAAAGGTGAAACTGTTCAATGGAGTCAACTGCAGCTTCGAACGCAGCAAACCACCTCCGACTGTTTTCAAACAACATATTAAATTTCAATAAATATGCACTCTTCATTTTCATTATCATAGCATTTTAGCATTCTGACTGGATTTGCATTAAATGTGCATGAAGGCCATTTAGACTCAAATTACATCCAACAGCTTAGAAGTTTCAGCAGCATAATTAAAACGGCTTGCACTCATCAGATTGCATGTAACAGGATACAAAGTCAGCCTCGCAAGTCACATTTAATCTCTAAAACATACTCATCGATGACCCTGGTAGCTTTTATTAAACAAATAGTGCCCACATGTGCTCTTCGGGTTATATGGTGAGCTTTAACGGCAAAATGAGATGAGCCCCCGCAATATGTGAGGTAAACAACGTGCCTATAATCACACTTTATTCTAGTAGGAATCAAGTACAGTACCTCGAGGGGAAGTCACATTTTATAAATGACACTATTTTCTTACAGTAACCGACCTTTAAACGTTTACGTGTCATTTTTTTTCCATTCTTAAATGTAAAATATGCTATATAGAAGATAAAGTTGAAACTGATATGTTTGCTGTATCTAAATGATGAAAGACAACTATGGCAAAAGAAACGATGAGGAGATTGACAGGAGGGAGCAGGACACTCGCCCCCAGACGGATTTACTCTATAGTCACATACACCTGCCTTTAAAATGAACGGGAAATAAAGTATGCCAATTTACTAAAAGGGCACCGTTATTTTGGAATAGAAAGTAATACGAATTTTTGAAATATGAGACAAGCAAACACATGAAAATGCATTAAGTGCTTTGAATTCGATCTTTGATCACCATACACTCTATAACTTCCTCCCTAACTTCAAAGGACCAAAATAAGAAATTTCAGAAATACAAAATATGTATAAACCTTCATACATCTTAGGTTATAAGTTTGGTACATGTATGAAACAACAGCAATAAAATCCCATTAAGCTCTAGGTGACAAATAGACGGATTTTTTTTTTTTTTTGGGTGAAATATTTCCACTTAAATGCATTCACTCAAATCCTCGAGGGCACTTTCTTGGCTACAAGATGACAGAGCAGTTACAGTATAAAACATTATAAGAAACATACTGAATTTGACTGATAAATTATAAATTTCTATATATACAAAATTCATATTTTTTTTACATATCAACATATCAACAAGCTCAGCCAATCAGTTGCTGATGGCCCTGTCTCTCAGACAGTTCTTTAGAAAGAAACGTATTCCTTGAAGGTGACGGTGAGACTGTTTGTTGTGATATCAGTGATGATGATATTTCCCATAAACGGGGAGATTTTTTTAGCAAGTGTCTGGTCAGTTTTCTCTGTGGATTTCCGTGTGTCCTCTGTGACAGCTGGTGTGTCGCTGACGGGGGGCTCTGGCTCAGGCTCTGGCTGTGTTTCCGCCTCGACCTGCTTCTTATTTTTCGGACAGCTGAGGTCCATTGGCTCCTCCTGACTACCCCCTTCTTCATATGTACATATACTGCTGTGGGGTAGCGCACTACAGTGCAGATCGATAGGTTTGTCCTGAGGTGGCGTCACCACAGTGCTGGGGACACTTAAGCTCCTTGATGTCAGATACATTTTGGCAACAGTCTTGTCCTCCACGGGATCGGAGAGCTTCCGCTTGCGGTCAGTGGAGAAGGAGGGGACCCTGAACTGATCGACGGCCGTCGGAGTGGGAATGCTGGTGTCAACGGTCCAAGATGTTGGAGGAGAGCTGGCGGTCAGCTGTAAGGGCAAATCTTCTGGTAAATCAGCTTGACCACGGGCCACTTCGGTGTTGTACTCCTCCGCTGTGCTTGGAGACGGTTTGGAGAAATGTCTGTCTTTCGGGGAGCATTTTATGGGATGCTCTGCTCCAGAGAGGGAGCTGCCATTTTCTTTGGGGATACCGTTCTCTGGATGTTCCACAATTTTGGTTCTGTGCGCTGGATTGTTTTCGGATGGTTTGGTGCTTTGCGGATTTTCTTCTTTTGATGATTCCCCATGTTTCCCCTTTGTGCCATGAACCTTGTTACTGTCCATGTATTTGCTCATGACAATGACAATACGTCCATTTTTGTTTTTATTCTTTATTATCTTCATTTTGCTGCTAATAGCACTGGGCAGCGTTGCATCTTTAGGATTGGGCTTAAGTGCATTCTCACTCTGGGCCTCTTTAACAGCCGGTTTAGTCACTTCCACGGCCAGCTCTTTGACTTTGCTCAGGCAGCCTGTGTCTTTGTCACGGATCCATTTCTGCTGCAGGGCGAGCGGTAAGTTCCAACCAGGATTTGCCGGTTTACTGGCAGGTTCCTGAACTTTGACCACTTCCTTGAGCCTGGAAGCCTGTGTGTCGTACATATGTGGGTCTGGCTCATAGTGGTGGTGCTTCTTGCTGTTTAGCTGATAGATCAACTTCTTCTTGCTGTTGACTAGCTGGTCAGCAGAGACCTCCTGGCTGCTGGGCTGGTACTGATGGTGTTTCTTGCTGTTCAGCTGGTATTGCTGTGGCTGGGAGCGCTGGACCTGGACGGGATCCGACTTGGTGCTGCTTTCTGCATCCTGAGATGTTTCCTCCAGACTTGCAGGAATACTTGACCTCCGGGCAAATGAGGGCACCTGGCAGAAAGACAAAATATTTGTTTAAGATGTAAATTATGTCATTCAAAATCTGATTTAAAAAAAAACTCAGAAATACATTAACAAAGTCAAACAAATTTGAGATGAAATACAAGAACTCCACAAGTTCTTGAAGAAAAATAAGACCTTAAGGGGAACCCCAGTGATTCAGTATTGTTACTTTAAAGGGCTAAAAATTAAGGATATATTTGTCATGGATGGAACCACTATAGTTAAGCTGAGACAACATTTCTGACATTGCTGTTATGATGTTTTGAACATAGTTGCCAAAAAAAAAACTTTTAAAGTAAGGCTGTTTGTTGAACAGGCTTAAAAAGGAGGTTTTACTTTCAGTTTTGCATCACTTAAAATCACAGACTACAAAATGCTTCCTCTGATCAGACACCCAAAATCAGCTGTCCAATCTGGACTCAGTTTACCGCCTCCCTCCCTCCACATTGCCTCCCCTCCCATTCTCCATGTCCAGACTGAACCCGCAGCCGTCAGAGGGGCAGTGCAGCGGAACGCTCAAGGCGCTCTGCCGCGACCTCAGGTCAGAGAAGTGCCACCAGACATGTCATGCTTTATCCCTGACTGCCGGCCACGTGTGACTCTGGCAGCGTGGTTTGCCTCTTAAGCAGAGACTCCGCATAGCAATCAGCTCAGATTCTCAAAATATATAATCACATTTGGCTCAGAACAAGCCTCTGCAAAGGCCTTTGCAAAGATAGTCCAAACAGGACAGAGTACGGCTTTTATCCATTTATCTTCATTTTGAAGAGACATTAAACAGTCCTAGAACACCTCCCCAATAAACGCAAAGATTTTTAAAGCAACAAACTGTGCTTTGCATTCGTGGCTATTTAAACTCTAGAGATAATGAACATGTGGATTAAATGAATCCTCTCAAGCAGGGCCTCTGTAACCTTAGGTGCAACAGTGGGGCCTTTTTATCTCAAAGAAATCCCTAAATGACCATGACCATAATGACAGCAGCTGTGACACACCTGACCTTACTCCTTCTCTTTTTGGCCTCTCATAAACAGAGACTCACACAACGTCTAGGTGAACCTGACTGTTTCCACAGAGACCGGTGCTGTTGGTGATTCATTCGCAATTACCTGGAGTAAAAGATGTTTTGGCTTTGGCCCCCGTTTTCGATATCCCATCAGCTGCTCCTGCTTCTCCCTGTGAAGATAAAAGATTGAGTTATCTAAGGCGTAATTAGGTTGCATTCTGCACGCCGTTACGCATTAAATTATAATCTCATCACAATAAAAATGACAGGTTTGACAACTGAAGTAGTCACTCATTCATCCCAACCTGCTCAAGATCAAAGTAAGAAAAGTCAGAGGAAGAATGAAGGCGCACACATGAGCCAATGCCGAGCACTGTGATTCTTATTTGCATAGCCCTCCATGGTAATCCACCCATTCCATATTCTCATTACTTGGAAATTCAATTAAGCCTACAGCAGGGAGAATCTCTCCTTGTCTCTCAAACATCCTCCCTCCCATAGCACACCCCTTCCTCTCCTCACAGTCAATCTCTAATTAGGGTCAGGAGGTACAAATGCAGAGGCATAAAGTCAACCTCTTTGTGGACTGGCTCCACGATGCTGAAAACACGCACACCAGGTATTGTGCAACACAACGTCTACACTTTGAAAAAGCAGGGTGATAAAAACCCACAGATGCTACATAATAAAAAATATTTCTTCTGGAACACTGTCCATGGAGGGAGGACAAGGATGTGTGTTACTTGAATTGAACTGACATGACCAGGCAGCGCACCACGTGTGAAATAAAGCTCCCTGATATAAACCTTGACTCATCATTGGCTCATAAATAACCAGCGGTAGGTGAAGGCCAGCTGTAAACAGGCTTCGGCATACTCAGAACCCAGCCTACTGTTGGCCTCTAGTTACAGATGTTCCAACAAACCGAGACGAGAGAAAATGGCCACAATAAACAGTCTCCATTGCTATAATGTCTGTGATTTTAAAACTGCGTCGAACAGGGTGACCCCTATTCACACAAGATTTGGCAATTACAGACTCCCTTGTCGAATCCCCTCCCCCACCCACTGGGAGCAGAGAGGAATCCACACACACAGCGCAGAGGCAGCTCTCCATGACCATCAGCACACAGCCAGACACACACACACTCACTCACTCACACACACACAGAGCCAGGCGGGCTGCAGGGGAATATGAGAGCGGTACACTGGAAACGTTGAGGAGCGCTGCGTGTCAATTAGCCTTTTCAGAAAAGCGAAATTCCTTTCCCCAGCCATCTTGTCTTTACCGTGGCCCATGAGCAGTCTGTCGGCCTACAGAGAGAGTATACACCACAGGCCTCGTGAGTCCAGACAAGATGCAGTTGTACATGCGTTAAGAGATTGAATGACAGCAGCATTTGGATGAACTATCATCTCAACCTCTGAGACAGCCATTGATGTGTCACTAATTGTTTTTAAGCCTGTGGTCAGCCTGCTTTTACTCTCAATTGAAAACATGCAGCACTTGTCAGTATCAAGGGTCAAAACAAGTATATTTCCACAACGATTATTTTATGCAATATCTCAAAATAATATTGAAAGTCAAGAAGGGCTTATAAGGCCAGTGTTTGACATACAGGTATTACGGTCTGTGGGCTCATGCTGCAGACAGATGTTCCAATATCAAAACCACAACAAACCGGTCTGCTTGTATCCTCAAGCCAAGTAAAGCTCCCCAGTGCAGCTCATATCGGAAATTACCACCCGCTTTATCGAATTACACACAAATACTTGTGGCTGGATCCACATGAAGAGTTGCCTTCTAGTTCTTGTCGGTTAGAAACACAGAAGAGACGAAAACAAAAAGCTTGTTTGGTACTTCAGCATTCTTCATTAAACCAGCCCAAGGGATGCACTGGCATTACATTTGCTTCCACGTCAACCCACCCGATGTCTAAAGACGCATTATTTATGTCTTCCAACATATATTCATCCATATTTTCTTGGAGCCAATTTTTCCATCTCTATGATCCAGGAATTCTCACAACTATATCCCCATCCTCTCCCCGGGGAGAAAGTCCCGAGGGAACAGGGGGCAGAGAGGGTATGGGGGGGAGGGAAGGGGTAGCTGGAGCGCCCCTCCTCCCATGCCCTAATATGGTCATGGCTGAATTAGAGGCTGTGCGGCCTTGTCCAAAGTCCACATCTCTCTCACCTGTGTTGAAACGCCACAAGGAGACGCGGGTCAAGGATGTTTTCCTCTGGTTCCCACGTGTTGTATCTGCAGAGAGGAGCACAAAAACAACTGTCACCCAGCTGTCACGTGCCAGACCTCCTTTTTCCAAACAACTCAAAGGCCTCAGCTTCTTTCACATTCCCACATCCCCACTCACTATGCAGTCAAACAGGAAAGGTGACACAGCCTTCTAATTTATCATCAAGCCATAACTTTTCCTCCCATTTGAAGTATAGTCTGGACTATGTATATATATATATATAAATATATGTATATATATATATATATATATATATATATAGCACCACAGGGGTTATTGTGTGATTGTCTGAATTGGAAATAACAGTTGGAAAAAAACAAATGTTTCTTTCTTTTTTAACACATTTTTACAAATTCCAAGTTCAGCACATCACACAGGCATCCAACAGCGGGGCGGGGATGTCAATCTCAAAGTATGTGTCTGCGTACTCCAAATGCTCCTCCAGCACCATCATCGTGTCGGCCATTTTAGCACCACTGTCTCGTAAATTCACTGCCAGAGCAGAAATAATTAAAACGGGATTACATGGTTGTGCCTACCCCCCTTCCCTTGCATAAATTAGTGAAGGCATCCGCGGATACACTGGGAGACACATACCGAGCGCGCTCTCCCAGCTACACGCTCGCGCACAAACAAGCCCACACTGAGCGCGCACGCCCTTCGGGCACAGCACTTGATTCTGATAAGGTGCAGAATATTAACGCCAGCGCATTGGTAAACACTGTAGGGGACGTATCTGTAAAGCTTGCAATAGTACTCACTTGGGAGACCAGCCTCGCCACTTGACCAGGTACTCTATCTTGCCCTGTGATGGTGGATGAGGAGAAAAAAATATTTATTTCGGGAAGACGCATATTTCAAACGTAACATTTCGATGTGCCTGGCGCCTTTTGCAAACCCCGTTTCCCAGCCGTTACCTTCCGAATGCGCTTCTTTTCTATGCCCTCCACCGCAAAGACATGCTCTCCGGCGGCGGGGAGCTCCATTCTTGGCGGAGTCCGATCGCAGGAGGACGGCGACTAGGTGAAACGTTGGCCACGCACCGTCGATGTGCCTTCCGCTTACAGTGCGCGGTGTGCGCGCTTGGTAGTTTTCCAGTTGTATCCAAATCCGCCAGTGTTCCCTTCACCTCTCTCCCTTCTCTCTCCTCTCTGCACACACACACTCCTGGCAATGAGTAATTCACAGTGGTGAGACTGCGAGCAGCTCTGTTCGTGCAATAGCTCGGTGCATGACGTCAGGAGGGGAGGGGGAGGTGGAGACCTTACAGAGAAGGTTTGGGGTTCTATCCAAAGTGTTCCGGACTGCAGGGGGATATTTATGAAAAAAATCAAATGCATGATTTGGTTACTAAACATATGCAGAGGAATCCACGCGCGCTGTCGTTTTTGCTTTGTCCAATGGAGCCTGATGAAATCCTTTTCTATCTGCTTACACAATCTGCAGTTGACAGAAACTCTGTGTCTAATCGAGTAGGCCAACGGACAGACGTTGGTGTTAAAACCAGGAATAGATTCCCATAATGGATTCTATAATATTATGTCACCAATATAGAATAAATAAGTAAATAAATAAATACGTTTGTATTCAGCGAGATGGTGCTCTTCTGTTAAGCATCAACGTCACAAAATGCAAAGGAGTCACGGGCTGCCAACACTCACCTGTCCTCTGCTTAGTCAGCAATCACTCTCTGCAGTCCTGTTTCACGACAGGTTGACAAAGATGGTCATCGTTCCCGAGACAAAAGCTCGTGCACGTTTTCATTCCAAACTGCTGCTGACGCGTGGAAAAGTTCCCTCTTTTATTTACCGTGCCCTCTTCCTGCAGCACAGTTGTACGTGTGCACATACGGCTTACTCCCAATTCGACCTGCTCTCAGCTCTTCGCAAATATAGGTCAGACACACACAGACTGATTGTCAAACGAGTGCCATGTCCTCTGGGCTCAACCGCCGACAATTTGACACAGTAGAGGATTGCTGTATCTGAGCCACGAAGCAACTTTCTGAGTGTAAACTCATTCGACGCTGCAGTGCTTCCATGATTTGCCCATAACATGTTCACTTTGGCTTGTAAATGATTCATTTCTATAAATATGCATTTGGACAATTTAAATCCAGATGTATGAACCACAACACCATGAGCATGTATTCTGTGCTGTAAATGTCATCCACATCAAGTCTACTGATTTATTGGGGGTGGGGGGGTGTGTGGGGGTTAATTGGAAACATGAGCGAAAACATGCCCCCGTGCGCGAAAGATCGCTCTCTGTGCGTAAATCATGATGTGCGCACAGATTTGTTGGCAAAACATAAAAAAATAGTTTATGTGTTGAGCTTCGATGGCGTCAAAAAGGGGCTTGAACAAGCACAAGTTGATGTTTTTCTCGCTCCAAAAATAATTCAGCACCACAAGGGTTAAAATGAAGTCTCTGAGCAGAGCGGCAGCAGCCAGCCTATTAAATACAGGCACGATATATCTCTGCCCTGCCATATAAGGTAATGGACGAAAAGCGGTGAAATGCGGCATTAAAGGCTCTTTTATTCTCGGGTTTGAGATCTGAATTGGGTACATAGGGGGTTTGAGATCATGCATTTTGCAGACACGTTCGATTGAAGCCTCGCGTTTACTCGTTATTCTGTTTTTTTCCCCGTGCCCTTCATCCGCGGCCAAGGAGCGTAAACGCCCTGCTTCCCTAGCAACAGCATGAAAAGGGAGAGAGAGGCAAAGAGTAACACACGCACACAGCCTACTCTGTGAGAGAGAAATGAAGTTTGTGACAACAAGCCAGCTCTTCCTATAACGACCCCAAATGGGGCTGCGACGTCATCTAACATCATCTTGCAGATAAAACGATTCTCTCCCATCGAAATCCATCTTCAGATGCATAAAGCAGCATTATGGCGCAAAATCTATGAGCTGAGGTGATTCATTGTCGGCTCTGTTTAGTCACCAGGTACCCAAAATACAAATTATGCTTCATTTGGTGTTTACTGACGTCAATGACGGCTGATGTTTCTGTGTTGACAGAGATAATCTCAAAGAAAATTCTCTGACTCAGTGTGTGTGATTTGTTGGTACATTGCGCTGCGGGATAGAACCTTAATATACAGTGCCTCTGCCCTTGGTGGACTTTGGCTCAATTGGATCCAGTTATCTGGCAACACTCTGAAGTGACAGCGTCACCAACCAAGTCCCTGAATTATAAAATAAATAAAAAATAAATACATTTAAAAAAATCCCAGCGCCAAAATTTGACTTCAAGAGACTTGAGGGATTCTAAGCATTTCTTTTCTAAAGTGTTTCATTGACCATGTCAAATGTTTTTTGAGAGACCGCCTGAATTACTGTCCAAAAGATCCACTTTGCCCACAGCAGTTTAGTAATTACAGATCAACCTTTGCTAAGACATCATGTCCCGATCAAATCATTTGCGGGACTCAGACATATCTTCCCTTTAATCGCAGGTCTGTCTGCATGTTTCCCACAGAGAATGAGCAGCTGACGTCGCTTCTCGCTCCAGTCGCCCTCTCAGGAATGCGTTCAAGTGAGCTTACGTCCTATCGCCCGTAATCCACCTGTGACTTTTACATTCAAGATAAAAGTCGTTGAGCGGAAAGCGGGCAGGTTTTGCTGAGAGATTCGTTGGCCAGAGACTAAAAGTGAGCTTGGATTGCAGTTGGAATAAAAAAAAAAGATAAGAAAACGCACTGGTAAAAAGTGAGCTGATTTAGAATTTTAAAAAAGAAGCTCAGACTTAAATTTCGATAGTTTTGTGTCTTCTTCACAAATGTTCATCCCTGAGGTTCCAAAATAAAAAAAGTCTCAGAGTGAACACCTAACTTAACGTCTCCGTGCACACATCTTCCCTCAGACATAAATTGTCTGCGACACTGACATGCGAATGCCGTTTTTAAAGCCGCCCGGTTGGTCTGCACAAACGTTTCCACTTTATTTAGTCTTGCTCTGGCCCGTCAAGGTGAAATGAGCTGTTATCTAAAACATGAGGATAAACTCAGGGTCAGCCAGCTTGTTTTTATCTTATGTTTTAAGGCTCTTTTCAAACAACCTATGGCGTCATGTCATCTCAGCAGCAAGAGTGTGTTTTTCAGGGGGTTCTATCAAACACAAAAGCTGGAGATGGATACATTCTGTAGCTCTGGAAAAGTGAGAGATATGAAATGCGCCAAGTTTTACATTAAATCAGTTATTTCCCTGAGTTTCAAGCTTTTAGTCTCACAGACCAAAGCGTGAATTCTGAAGAGGATAAATTGTAAGACCATTTTTTTTAAAAAAGGGCTTGTTGGGGATATTCACATGTATCCGTGTAGGAGGGCCAGGGTCAGGTTAAACCCTGATCCCTGGTCCAGTCTCAGCAGGGAGCACAGAGAGCTTGGCCTTCTGACCCTTTTTCTATTGCAACACCAATTTCTTTCATCATTCTGTTCTCCCTTTTCCCGATTTCACACATGCTCTGCATGACCCTGTTCTCTAATTCAAGCAACAATCCACAAAATGGTGACTGGGGGAGCCAGGAGGCCTCTCCTGCCTGTCGATAAGCACCTACTGGAGTATCTGGACTGCTACCCACGGGAATGGGGAGATGATGGAAAGTGTGACTGATGCCGAGGGCTGCGAACACAAAAACGAAAAGGTATGTGGATTGAGTAGAAAATCCTTCTACATGTCTCTTATCTGAGTCATGAGTACATGAGTACCTACAAGGAAGAAAAGAGTTCATTTGCATACGGTACACAATCCAAGAACAGCATGATGAGGATGTGAAGGAAGGGAGTATGACAAAAATGTTGATTGGCCCTGTAGACATTCTCTCAGCCCACTCCTGAACCAGCAAGGACATGAAAATGAAAGGTGAGTAAGATCAAAACTCTAAAATGATCGAGTTACTAAAAACAGGGAAAGGAAACTGTTTAAGTGACATGGATTCCGTAATTAGCTTCTGTAAATATGGTTCATGATTTTATGCATAACTGGACTAATTACGCCGTAAGAAAAACATCCCCTTCCAGTATCCATATCTCCCGCTGCCTCAGGTGCTAACAGAGAAATCCCCCCTTTCCTTTGTCTGCTGCTGACATATGTTTAATTATGATAATTGTAACAAATGAAAGCTATTAGGAAGTCATTCATCTTGGCTCTGCAGATTTTAATGTGCTGTGAAGGCGGGTGGGGACGTGGTTGTGTGTGTGTGTGTGTGTGTGTGTGTGTGTAGTGGTGTTGGGAGCTCGGGAAATTCCTCCTCCAGTGTCATTATCAGGGCCATTGTTGCACCGAGGCGACAGGTCTGCAGAGAAGGGTGCTCCTCTGCCGGGGCGTCCCTCGCCCTCCCTCCCTCCCTCCCTCCCTCCCTCCCCCCCTCCCCCCCCCCCCCCCACTTCCAGCCCAGGAGCCCGAGCAGGGGGCGGTGGTGCTGGGAGCCTGGGAGAGAGTGAAGCAGAGGAGCAGGAGGAGGGGGGGGGAGAGTGCATCACGCTTCCAATGGACTGGTAGGGGCGAGGGCCAAGGCCAGAGGAGGAGGAGGAGGAGGAAGGAGGTGGTGCAGTGGAATTCTGCTAGTTTGTGGCTGAATGCACAACTTGTCGATAGAGTATTGAGCTGGGACGTTTCACTGCTGACATGGCCGCACTGTTTTTGCATTCTGAGTCCGACTCCAGCTATGTGTTGGAAATGTTTCCTCCCTGCTATCAATGATAGATACTCTTCAGCTTTGTGCAGAAACGCACAATAGTGAGATTGTTCTTGAAGCACAATAGTAAGCAGACAATAGCGGGCGTGAGGGAACAATGGCTGAATAATCCACTGTATAATTGTGTGCGTTTGTGTTTGATTTGAGGTAAAAGTGATTTCCTCTGCACAGGATGATGCCTTTCCGTCAGTGTGGAGACCTTACAGTGGCAGGCAAAGCTTTTCTAAATGTGCCTATGACCCAGTGTTCAGATTTAGCTCTGTTCAGTCTAATGCCATACTAATGATGAGTGACACGGGCCCTTATCCTGAGAGCTCTAGCCTTGCTTTGCTTCTCCCTCCCCTTCCTCTCCCAGTCTCCGGGGGACAGCTTATTTGCCTGTTTTTAATTGCACTTTAATTTACACATAAGCCTGGAAAAAGCGGAGTTAGACACGAGGCACCTTCTTCCCCTTTTTACTCTCACCACTGAGAAATCACAAACGGTTGCTTTTACAAGAGGAAGATGACAGCTGGATTGAGCAATAA